CTTAACTTGCATAAACTGAACGGGAAAAAGTGAAAAACGGTGCATACTACTGATTGGTGTGGATAGTTTCCAACTACTGAGTTATTCCTATGCGTTCCGAATGGGGGCTGCTAGCCTGAGCTTTAAGGTTTCAGTAGCAGTGACGTTGTGTTGTTTTTACGTGGTGGCGGTGGGAGGGGGTTCGGTAGCTTCACTCCCAACTGCTTGCCTCTTGCAGGCTTACAACTGGCTAGTAAACTAGGTGAGGTTTAGAAATGCGTCGGCCGGGAATCGAACCCTGAACCTCGTGAGGTGGTTGAGGGACATTCTGCCATTGAACCACTGACTCACCTTAATTTGTAAATAAATTAGTAATTGGTTGTGATTGATCGTGTGAGGGCTGAAATACTGTGCGCAGACGGAAGCAGGCGGTTGTTTTAAGGGACCACCTCCCGAGACTTTGACTTGGAGTCTAATCCACAAGGCAACGGAGCAGCGTCACCAGTTACGTTCCCATGGTTGCCAGTGACCAATACTGGTTCATACGCTATTTGATCCGATTGGATTCTCGAGCCCAGCCAATTTACCTTGTTGGTTTACTGCGGTTATTCAAGCCCGATCACCATAACAAGGTAGCAGTTGTTGGCCAAGAAATAGATGAGTAAAATAAAGTTGAATTATCACTGTAAGTATCATTATTTGACATTTTAGCTAATGAAATGGATTTCTGGTTTAAACCTTACTTCATCTTGTACTAACCTTAATAAATGCAGTAGTATAGTGTACATGCTGCCATATAGTGAACATAGTAACCACGTTTACACTGTTAAGTATGTAATGCATGTCTGATATGAAGTAAATATTGATTATTTAACTCTATTACAGTCTGATTAATGTGTTTTAGCACCTAAGGTTTTAATCCACTCACATTCACTCACTATCTGGCTTGCACATATATTAAATATACATGTATACATACTGACATACATTTATACAGTTGGGTGTTTATCAACCAACCAAGTTTCGATATGTCGGCTTAGATAAAAAATAATTTGGTTGGTTCGGTTTTTTTATTTTCTTGTTTTTCTCCAGTTTTTTTTGTCTGGTTGCATATTTGCATGTCTTATTTTCTTCTTTTTATTTACTTTTTGATTGTGTGATGTTTTTGTTTACTTTTAGTTGTTTTGGTGTACTACTTTTGATTTTTGTTATTGCTCTTGTTTTTTCGTTTGTTTGTCTGAAATGTGTTTAGTTAGATTTATTTGAACTTTCACATGTGCTTACTAATTCATTTATTCAAAGTATATCGTTTTGCCGGATATATATATATATTCCAAACGGTACCACAAATACCGTTTGGAATAAAGCTGTTATTATTATAATATATATATATATATATATATATATATATATATATTATATATATATGCTGTAGCGCCGTATTCAAGTTATGCTTCATGCACTTCAGCTTGGGTAACTTATTATTGTTGGAATACCCTTGGTTTCCGAGTGGAACATATGACTTCAACAGCGCATCTCCATTTATCTCTGTTCTTCTCAGTCATTTTGAGCTGGCTCCATGATTGATGATAAGCATTCATTTTCACCTCAGATGATCTCCTCTATGTCATCCTTGAACTGATGGCCAACTCGTCGTTTCCCATTCTCATTCAACTTGGGGGCCTGCCTTGTGCGTGGTGTCACTCGGTGGTCTCCTCAGCGGGTGTCAGATCCACCTCCATTTCCATCTGTATACTTTATGGACGGTAGGTTCTTGATTGGTTCTTTAGTATAGATCCTAGTTGCTAATCTGTTCTAGCCGACCATCTGATCTTCAGTACCGAAGCAGTGAATACATGTGTTGATAAAAGCTTACAGTATATTGCAGATGTCTTATTGTGATGCGTGCTCGCCAAGGTTTTGAGCGATATAGAAGCCCTGAGTAGAAATTAGTTTTAAAGACCTGAATCTTGTTCCTTATTCTGAGAGCAGTAGATTTCAGAGTAATCAAGATGTGTCTTGATTTCACAATCCTGGCTTGGACATCCTGTAGTTGAAGCTATGCTGTCTAGATAATTGAAAGAAGTAACTGCCTTTATATTCCTCCGATTTATATTAATTTGTGTTTATTGTTGTTGGTTAGTTACCTTCCTTACTTGTGTCTTCCCTATTTTCACTTGAAGTCCTAACTTCTCTTTCATCATCTTCTGCCAAGTTATTGGTTTTCGCTTGTAGATCTTCTAGGTTGTATGACATTAGGCGTGAATTATCCACGAAGTTTCCAATCTTCTAGAGTCTTTTTATCTATTCAGCGTATGTCTGTCTTCTGGCTCCCCATAGTCTGTTGTTGCGCGATCCAGTCCATCTGTTATATTTGGTAACCCTTAAATTATAAATGTGGCTTATTGCCACATGGAACATGAAAGATCTTTTCCAGATGGGCTGACTTCAAACGAAGACAGTACTAAAGAGTCGAAAAACTGATAGACTTCAAATGAACGTGCGCCACATCTCTATGACCTAATGACTGAATGATAATGCGAACATGTAGTTACTTAACAGTTTTTAGTTTGACGCCTTAAACTGGGTCAAAATTCTCGACATATTTACCTGTCCGTTTTCAATAGTTCTCTATGTGATGTTATATTTTTTAGTGATATCCCTTCTGAAATTGTGACTAATTGGTAGTCGGTTATCTGGAGAAGGTCTGACCAGTTCGTAGAACAAAGTGTTGGAATTAAGTTTTTATCAGTAAACCCGCACGGACAATGTCCAGCTAGTTGTCATGTGAATACCATTACCAGTGGATACTCACAGATTATCTAGTAAAACACTAAACTAGTAATCCGAAGGCCTCTGTCTCAATTCAAACCGTGATGCAAATCATCCTTTCACCTTCAGTCGATTGATTTTAGTTTCTGTAAAATGGGAACACTGGACATATAGTTGGCTTTGGTCCACCGATGGAAAGGGCTCTCAAGTGGTTTCGCCGCAGGATTATACTGCATGCGGGTCTTGTCTCTCAAGAGGTGGGTATAAGTGTGTTCCATCCTCCTGAAAATGAATGTATAAACACCTAGTCAGTGGGTGTAGCACTATATGAGCTGGATCGGTGGTTCAGCAGTAGAACGCCACGCCAACCATCCACGTGGTCTGGGACTCGATCCCCGGCCGACTCACTCTTAGACCTCCCTTAGCCAATCGTAAGTCCGGTAAAGAAGGAAGGTTGGGCTTAAGGCTAACAACATCACGCCATAAAATAAACAACACTGCTACTGAAACTTCTAAGCCCTAGCTTAAAGCCCTATGTTCTAAATGGAACATAAAGGAACAAAATAAATAATAAAATTGTAGTTGGCTTAAAATTGGTTACACAAAATAAACAACACTGAGTTTCGAAACTCTTTTTCTTTACTTTCACCTTCAATATTTCAGTTAATAATCTGCTTCTTTTTTTTCTCATCTTTTAAGGAATACATACAAGCATAATTTATTGTTTTTTAAGTATACAATTTTTAAAAAGAAATATTCAATCCTTTTGTTTATTTGATTGCCTCTTCATTTTATTATCTGTTTATTGTATGTGTTCAACTTGTTGTATTATGCATTGGTAGGTTTACTTTCATTCTTCTCTGTCTTTGATTTCATCTCCTTTTCTTCATCAATAGATGATTATTTAAAAGAAATCTTTCATATGACTCAAGGTATTCATTAAATTATTACACACAAAAGTAGAAGTCAGTTCTTGATGTTAATGTATTCCCTGTAGCTGGATGACTCACACTGGAATGAACACTGAGGACGTTGTCCAGAAGGACTGTAATACTATTGATTACTTACTAAAATACAATGTTGGTACACTGTAGGTATCAAGAGATTCACCACATGAAATCTCACACTTTGTGCAAGGGCTGGCCTACTGCCTGAACTCCCACCCAACCCCCGAGCTTTTGGCTTGATGTCTAACCTACAAGGAATTGTACTGAGTCTACGTCCCCATGGTTTCCAGTGATCAAATCAAGTCATACGCTATTCAATCTGTTTGGATTCTGAGGCCATGTAAACCAATGGTTTGTAATCAGGGTTGTAACCACTCGCAAAGTAGGGGGTTTGATTCCTGACTGACGTACTCCTAAACCCTGCCTAACTTTCCTAACCCATAGTAAACCCGGAGAAAAAGGGGACTGTGAGTAAGTCTAACTACCCAATCTCGTAAAAATATTAGTACCTCCATTGAAATTTCTAGGTTTCGAGTCATATGTTCCACTTGGATCGCGAAGAAGTGAAGCAGAAGAAAGCTGACAATTGACTTCCGATTCATGTGACTTCTTTTTTATTGCTTGGTAAATGTGATCTATCACTGGTGTCTGTTGATTGTAGATCTATTTGAGTACCAAGTTTCTAAGATCTAACTGCCACTCTTAGTGTTTCTTTTGTCCAAGATCTGTACATTTTTACAGTAGAATTGATGTCCGTAGTTGTTTGTGCGCATTGATATGAAGAACTGAATGTCATGTCTGTCGACACCCGGTCTATCTCCATTGATGATAAGACTATGATATCCTCTTATGATCTATGCAATGTTGCAATTTATCTAGTGGTTGGTGCTGGTTTTGTCTTCTTTTGGAAGACCAGTCACCTTCAAAGTCATCGGGAGAGACAGTTAAAAAACCAACAGAGTATTCCAAAAGCTCACTTCATATGGAAGTGAGTGCTGGATATGTTGTCTAGGATGACACTGAAAGCTTCGCTATTAAACCCTAAAAATCCACTTTACATATTTACTTTGTCATTTAAACGTCAAATGAATTTTTAACCTAACAGAATTTAACTTGGCCAGCTGCATGAATTTCATAAGCGTTTGTAAGTGAATTTGCCTTAGATCAACTGCAGATTGATGTATTTTGTTTGCCGTATGTTGAAAAATATGCAAAGAATAAATTTATGCTTTCTTTTCTTCCTTTCTGTTGTTAAAAAGCCCCCCATTTTTCTTCTTTTTTTTGTTTTTTTTTTAAATCTAGGTTAACAATGGTTTAATAACATCTGATGATTTAATACAAGGTAGTTTAATAAATCAACCACTTCGTCCTGTTTCACAACTTCAATATCATTTACCAAATGCTCCACCGCCTCCACCTCTTCCTCTTCCACCACCTTCTTCAGCTTCTCTTCCTCCTGCATCGTCATCATCAACACTACCGCCTTCTGTTAGTCCAAATGTATCAATACTACTACACAGGGTATAGAAATGAATAACATGAATAATATGATGAATTATCCTCCTCCTCCTTCTCAAGAATTAATGAATTCTAATGTTTATTTAAGAAATAATTATCGTACGAATATATCAACTTCTGCCGCTGGTGTTGGATACCCACCTGGGTAGGTTTACATTATTTTAAGAGGAAAAAAGTGTGTTCTTTCACGCTTGACTACTCACTTTATAAGTAGTTTGGTTGTATGTTGGTTGGTCATTTATTACTAACACACAAAGTTGGTACATAATGGGCACCAAGAGATGCGTCACACAAAATCGCATACTTTGTGTGTGTGGGGGGGCTGAGATCCTCATCAGACGCCTAGACTGAAGCAATTGGTTGCTTTAAGGGGCCACCCCACCTATGAGCCTTTGACTTAATGTCTGATATACAAGGAAGTGGAGCAGGGTTTTGAGCTACGTCTTCGTGGTTTCAGCTGACCAAAACAGGTTCATGCGTTGTTCGATTGTTCGGATTCTGGAGTCCACGTACACCATAGGTTTGGAACCATGGTTTTCCAGCTGTTTGCATTCGGTCTTTCACTGCCTGAAGATAGTGAGTAAGACTTACCTGGTAGAGGCTATGAATGCGTGTCCATACGACAGTATATTGAGAAGAAGACCGACGTCTACCCGCTCTCGGCCGTACTAGGTCGCTTAAGATAAATAGGATGTAACCATTGTCATCTGCTTAGTCTTTAGAGTAAACTGAATTCGATCATTGACAAAGCTAGGTGATTTAACTTGATGATGGTACCCTTTGTTATCTGCAGGAGCCCAGAGATTTAAGTTTCCTCTTTATTGACACTCATCAGTATGGTATGTCATATGCACCTGATAGCCTTTCACTGATTAGAGTTTGCGTCATTTAGTGTTACAATCAGAGCCATATTCCCACTAAGCTATTCAGGCTGCGACCGATACCGTGTAGTGTTGTAATGAATACATGAGTGGATATCATGAATAATACAATAATATCATTCATGAACAGTTCAAATAGGTTCACTTCATATTACAGATTGTGCTGAAGATGTTTTCTAGAAGCACAACGAAAGCTTCGCAATCACATCAAAATCATCCATCTAAGCTACAAATCGTCTCTATTATTTCATAAACCTTTTTCTATCAATCGACTCGTTGTATGTCTGTATAGTTATTGTCTTCCCCTAGTTCTTGACGATATGCACATATAAGCAAACACAAATTATCAGTCAGCAAATCGCACAATCTCAGGTAGAGATTGATCACAGTTACCTTAGGAAAGCTGAAATATTCAGATCACAATATGTGATCACCTCGTAACCATAATTGGCAATCAAGAAAGCATGCATGATCGTTTGACAATATATATATATATATATATATCGCTTGTTGGGGATCATACTCAACAGTGGTGTACATGGTTCGACTCAATTCAGAGAACCGCATCAGTTGAAACCTGAGCTGGATGGTTTATTTGCGAAGCTTTCATTACCCTACTAGATAGCATTTTCAGCCTATACTGCAATTTGAATTAAGCCTTTAGATTTCTCCACGAGTTTATAAGTCGTCTCTCCTGTTGACCTGACCTTGAGCGTGACTGGTTGGTTGTTTTTGTGTGGTTTCATATCCTCTAGGAGCTACTTGTATTGGAGCTGATTGCTTCCCTGACTTGAACTTTGACTCTTTGTGTGTGAGATTTCCTTCTCATAGATTGGTAAATTTTGTTTATGTCATTGTGCCTGTTGATTGCAAATTCACTGGAATACCACTCAAGCTCCTGAAAACTCTCTAGCATTCTTGGTGTCTCCTCTGTCTCATATTTGAACATTGTCACAGTCGAATTGATATTGCACAGAGGAATCACCAAGAATGCTAGAGAGTTTTCAGAAGCTTGAATGGTATTCCAGTGAATCGTCAATTAATAGACACATTGACATAGACAAAATTTACCAATCGATAAGAAGGAAATCTCACACACAAAGGGTCAAATTTCAGGCCAAGGAAACAATCAGTACCAATAAAAGTAGCCCCCAGAGGGTGTGAAAACACACAAAAGCAACCAAGCACACTCAAGGTCACCAGGAGAGTTGACTAATAAACTCGTGGAGAAATCTAAAAGCTCACTTCAACAAGTTAAAGTATGCGCTGAAGTCAGGGTTTAGCCTATTAGGTCAATGAAAGCCTCACAAATAAACCATCCAGCTTAGAGAACACAACTACATCAAAATCATCCACCTGAGCTACAAATCCTCTCCATTAAATCAGTTGAAACCACCTAGATTTAGGCACACCACTGACAAGCTCTCCCTCAAACTAAAGAAATGGTTGTCCAGGTTTTCGATCATTTTGATCTGGCTAGGAAACACTACAGGTTGATATGATTTGCTTTTTATAACCATTCAATAAACAAGTGACTAATACTTACTTTTCTCTAGTATCCTTCATTTAGTCTGTTTTTAGTTAAACGTTAATTGATGCAAATTATTATTATTATTATTACATGTTACAATGGTTTTGAATGACTCAGAATTCTGTGTACATAGACCAACCTAGGCCACCTACGTTAAATGTGATTTGAATGAGTATACATTTTTCAATCAGACGTTACCTGTACACACACCGAAATACATACAAATACTATCAGTATTGCTAGTGTTACTACTTATAGTACCACTGCGGATACTAATAATAGTAATAATCATAATATTAATGCATATTACAAAAGACGATGAACAACTATTCAGAGGTTCACATATATCCTATTGTATTGGAACAATATTAATCAGTACTTAACATTATTTATTGGTTTAGTCTATGTAGAAGTACACATTATTAATAAATGGTAGATATATGTAAACAAGCTTTAGTGCAGACCCTTTTTCACGTTCAATAGAGTATTTTGTGCAAAATTAATTAATTCTCTAGGATTTGTTTTCTAACTAATTAATGTTTTTTGTTATTTTCGTTTTCATCATTTCTCTCGCTTTCCGAGTGGAACAAAGACAGATATAAGCCTTCATGCATGCTTAGTCTTTGAATTTTCAGTATCAGTGATATTGTGTGTTTCTTCCACAAGGTGGGATGTGGTTGCTAGTCTCACTCTAAAAACCCTACCCTCTTTACTAAGCTTACTAATCGGTAATGACAATGTTGAGGAGTGCATTGACTGGGAATCGAACCTAGACCATGTGAGGCGTCGTTGGCGAACATTCTATCATTATGTTACTGATGCTTTTAACTAACTAAAATCTTTGATTAACTGTTTATGTGTTGTTTCACCGTAGTTCATATTTCATCAGCAGTTTGCACCTATTATGTTTCCGTATATTTTGTAAGTTAGTTATTTAGTTAGAAGTCAGTTTTACCTGAAACAGATTTTTAATGTACACCAGTCTATGAGTAACACATATTTTGTGTGTGTGTGTGTGTGAGTTGATGATATTATCTAGGGTGAAGTAGGTGATGCGTGACTCGAACATGAGGAAGTTGGATGAAATCTCCACTTTGTCATGTAGGGTTGAACTCGAAGCCTCAAAGCTTTGTAGATAATCTGTTATCTGTGAATAACATATTCATATTTCCTAAAATTATCTATCAATTCTCTACATAGTGCAATTATCCTCTAGTATACGACTGAAATACACCCGTCTTCATTTTTGACGTAATTCATATTCAAGCTTCGATTTTTATTGTTTTCTTATTATTCAAAGTCTATCATCGTTTTCAGTATTTAAACGTTATGTATCAGTATTTTTGGTTAACTTGGTTGGTCGGTTATATTGTATGTACATCCTGATGGTCACGAATTAACATCGGTAAGAGAACCATTGAGAACCAAGGATTACTGGGTAGCTATTTCATCTTAATTTGGGACTTTTCAGCAGCATGTACTGGTAACCTCATTGGCAATCGAAGCCAGATCCTTCCGGTTACGAGGCAACCAAGGAGTCCAATGGTCTCCGGATTCTAAATCCTGTCAATCAGCAATATATATTGCCATCACTGGGGAAACGTATAGGTGTGTACTGCTGAAGAGCCTTAAACCATGACGAAGTACTTGTTCACTAGGCCCTGTTTTAATGGTTCTGTAACTTATTCCACTTCATGACCAAAGTCGAGATCAATCAAATCCTTATAAACTGACACGCTTGATCCGTTTTAGTCTGTATGAAGGAGATTGACTTATCTTACTGGATGATATATATAGTTAAAATGAACATTCCTCAAGTAACACTAAGGCTGATGTTGTATTTGGCGTTGAAAGCTTTAGCGAAAATAAATTCTAGAAAAGCGGCCATCATGTCTTGAAAAATGTATGAATTCAACTTAAACAGGTGGTAGTTACAGTGAACGCGCATGCTATTATCATAGAAGTTAGGATAGAGGCATATCGTTGTTAGATAGTTGGAGACAATCGACAGGAAGCCTTCCATCTAGGTTTCGTGTGTGTTGACACTCACCAGTCAGCAAGGAGTACCTGAAATTTTTGAAAGTACATTTCACTAATCAAGGCACTCTATTCAAACTCACGTAGTCGTGTAAGGGCTTATGGGAAATTGTCATCTGAATTGATAACAACCAGTGGTGTCCGACAGGAATGTCCACTTTCCTCATTCCTGTTTAACTTCATCATAGATATGCTGATGGAAGTATCCTTAACTGAACGTAATGACTTAGGAATCAACTTGTTACCAGGGAATAGTCTTATGGACTTAGAATATGCAGATGACATAGTCCTGTTAGGGGAGGATGCTGACAAAATGCAGAGTCTTCTGAACACCTTGAGCAGCAATCTTCGTATGTTTGGCATGCGATTCGCCCCTGTAAAATGTAAGATGCTGCTACAGGACTGGACTACGTCAACTCCTAGCTTAGTGATAGGGGGCAGTGAAGTGATAGAAAATGTTGACCACTTCACCTATTTGGGAAGTTGTATTATCACCAACGGACTGATTGGCGACGAAATCTCAGCACGGATCCCAAAAGCTCGAGCTGCTTTCGCTGACTTACACCATCTCTGGCGTAGGCGTGACATCCGGTTATCAACTAAGGGACGTGTGTACTGCTCATCAGTTCGCTCCGTCCTTGTCTATGGCTCTGAAACATGGCCAATACGAGTTGAAGACATGAAAAGGTTGACTGC